GCTAAACACCTTTTGTGATAGAATCCCCCAACAACAATTGCATTCTATTAGCCTCACCATAGTCTCCAAGACTGTCTCCATAATATCACTACACTCGGTGTCTGAGTCTGTCTCCACAACACCACTACCCTCACTACTTCTCTTGTAGCGTGGCCAAGTGGAGCTGACCGCGGTACAGGAGCTTCAGTTTCCTGTACCTGGCCGGACTGACAGGAAGTGCTCTCTCAGTGATCACTTCCTGTCAGTCTGGCCGGGTACAGGAAACAGATCCTCCTGTAACGCAGTCCGCTCCACTCAGCCACGCTACACTGAGTAATTGGCCGGAGGACATGCTGTGCGCCCACCTCCTGCCGGTCACTCTAATCTAGCGCCCCCCTGGCTGGTGCACCCTATGGCGGCCGCTTGTGCCGCCTTAAGGACACGCCGGCCCGACCTGAAGACATTGCATATTCAAAAGATCAGTGATACTACATTACATATTGAAAAATGAGAATATATTTTATTTATCTTGCCTAGAGCAAACAATATTTTTAATAGTGTATGATATTATAGAAACAGAAAAATAGAATGTGACGGCAGATAAGAACCATTCGGCACATCTAGACTGCACAATTTTCTAAATACTTTCATTAGTCCCTGGCCTTATCCTATAGCTAGGATAGCCTTATACCTATCCCATGCATGCTTAAACTCCTTTACTGTGTTATCCTCTACCACTTCAGTTGGAAGGCCATTCCATGCATCCACTACCCTCTCAGTATAGTAATGCTTCCTGATATTATTTTTAAACCTTTGCCACTCTAATTTAAGACTATGACCTCCTTTTGTGATAGTTTTTCTTCTTTTAAATATAGTTCCTCCTTTACTGTGTTAATTCCCTTTATGTATTTCAATGTTTCTATCATATCTCCCCTGTCTCATCTTTTCTGCAACTATACATGTCAAGATACATTAACCTTTACTGGTAAGTTTTATCCTGCAATCCACGAACCAGTTTAGTAGCCATCCTCAGAACTATCTCTAAAGTATCAATATCTTTCTGGAGATATGATCTCCAGTACTGCATACAATACTCCAAGTGAGGTATACAAAAGAGCTAGGCCTGAGAGCCTCAAGTGGCTTTATAAAGGCAGTAGCTAATCATATTATAGGCACAGGTGAAGATACCTGCCTGGAAGGAGAGCGCTGCAGCCCAGTCAGATTGAAGAGCTCCTGAAAGACCCAAGTCAAGCTTTAGCACCTGGGTCTGAAGTGATCCAGGGTCCCTTGTGGTAGGGAGGAAGTGGACTTGATGGAGCTACTCGGTCTGAATACGGGAGCTCTATCGTAGTCTCAATGAACTATATTAATATTTTATAAATCAGATAAGAACTGCAGCTTTATTTACCTTCTTTCCATTGTTTTGAATTTTGTGGATTTTTCATAAATAAATCATAATAATACAGTTCTGGTTCTGTGTATTTATGGTCTCACAGTCACATCACTAATTCCTTAAAGAAACACTCAAGACACCATAACCACTTCATGTGAATAAAGTAGTTATGGTGTTATGAGTCCCCTGGCAACAAATTACCTTTTAGTGTTTTTGAATGACTTAAAACGAAAGTTGTGTCCCCAGATGATTGTCAGCTGCCTCTCCTTTGGGGTTCAGGGAAATGTAGAAGTATTAACTCAAGCAGCAACAGGCAGCAGTGACAATGCTTTCCTATGGACGTCAGCGTCTTCTCACTGTGATTTTCACCGTGAGAATCACGGAAGCGGCCTCTAGTGGCTGTCAGTGAGACAGTCATTAGAGGCTGGATTAACCCTCATTGAGCTGAGGTGGTCTGGGTGCCTAAAGTGGTCCTTTAATCACCTCCCACCGGATGCGCAATGTCATACACGTCACAGGAAGTGACGTATCGGGAAGATACCGATTGGGAGATGTGAAGACCAATGCGCATCACTAAGAAGCCATTACAGTAAGTGACAAAATGATAGAAGAAATAGAAAAAGAGGCTCTATGAACACTGCGGACATCTTGGGAATGGACACTATGCTCAGAACAGGATGTGCCTCCATGTTGGGGATGGCGGCATACATCCGGTCCCGACCATATTTGGTTGTGGGTGGTATTTTACTAACATATGTTTTGAATTGTGTAATTGTCTGGCTTATCTCTTGGCATATATATAGCCATATATGTTCAGTTGGAAAAATACATGCACATGAGGAAGACCTTCTGATAGGTTGAAACGCTTTGTGCATTTTTTATTTGTTTTATAAAGTTGTTAATAAACATACACCTTTTAATACTTATTCTGGACTCTGGGGTTCCTGTGTTTGAAGAAGTGAGGGTGATCTTTGGAAATTCCATCATAAATCTCTTTTATGAGATGAAAAGCTCCATAAGTACCGAGCCAACTTTTAATGGGCTCTGTAAATTATGAGTTTAAAGAAATATTCTTAGATGTATATATAGTCTCACGTATACAGACAGGTGAAAGAAATGTATGTGTAGCTCCTACTTCCGGTTTTGCCGTCGGAACGTCTGCGTCATTACGTTCCGATGCCATAGCCGTCCGGAACGTCTGCGTCATTACGTTCCGATGCCATAGCATCATTTCCGGTTCCGGTCACATGTTTTGTAGTCCGGACATACCCACGCAAATAAAAAAGAACGGCATCATATAATGTCCAAATTTTTTTCGTTCACCAAAAAAAACGGCAACAATATAACCATTTAAAATCCGTTCAATATAATCAATACTAAACATATATTCATAAAAAAAATATATACTTCTTCACATAAAATATCCATCTTTCACATAAAACTATTAAAATTAAAAATATTAACATTATACATAAAATATGCACATAAAACCTGAATGTATAAGTTAAATACAATTGCAAATACTTAAGAAAGGTTATAAATACTTAAAAAAAGGTATATAAAACGGGATACTTTTTCTATTTTCTCATTAATGAATAAATTGATTGATTTCAAAATCCACATTTAATCCTTTTGGTACCATTGTATCTAACTCAAAAATTAATTTCATTTCTCTCAGACTTAAAATATAATCATTATCACCTCCTCTCCAATGTACTTGGGTTATATCTATCCCCATAAATTCTATTCCACTTGGGTCTCCGCCATGGACCTCTAAAAAATGTTTTGAAACATTATGATTAATGAACTTTCTCTGTATGTTATATATATGTTCTCTAATTCTCGTTTTTAGAAAGCGGGATGTCTTCCCCACATATTGTAACCCACAGGGGCAAATTAACACATATACCACATTTTACATTTGGAATAGAATTTATGGGGATAGATATAACCCAAGTACATTGGAGAGGAGGTGATAATGATTACCGGAAATGATGCTATGGCTTCGGACATGAAATAATGCCGCTCTTCTTTACCTGGGTCTGTCCGGACTACAAAACATGTGACCGGAACCGGAAATGACGCTATGGCGTCGGAACGTAATGACGCAGACGTTCCGACGGCGAAACCGGAAGTAGGAAGCCGCAATTAGAACGGAAAAGAATGGGCGCCAATTTTAACTATTTAAACCAAGATGCCTTGAATTGGATATCACTTCGGATGAAGGCAATAGCCGAAATGCGTTAAGTGTTTGGACTCTCTTTTTGAGACTTTTTATTTTACCCTTTGATGTATGGTTTTAATTCACTTCAAGATTTGAAGAATAAAAGCTTGTTTTTACCCCTAGTTGTTTTGCGTCCTGGAGGTTCTACATTTAAAGAGGAAGAAAGTTCCCAGTGGAGGTCCCTGTCTATATATTCAAGGCATCTAGTTTGAGACAGCTTTTTAAGTGGCTCTATTTATGTGAGTGTGATTTATATCCATTGCATATATATTTTATTAGACTATACTACTCTATGTTTGTCTATTTGGTTGTTTTCTAGATCAATTGACTACAGAGTGGCTAGTATTTTATTATTCTTGTGTGCTCTCACCTATTTATTATTTGTTTTTATTCCAGCCTGAGTTTGTTTACCGGATAATTTACGAATCTCAGACTTCAAAAATACTATCTCTATCTCCTACCACAATACAGAGAACTGTCTACAGATTAGACAGCATCCAAATCCCCAAAAAGGGAAACATGAAATAAATGCAAAACAACTATTACACTAATCAAAGTCTGCCATTTTAATGAGGTGAGTAATTTAAATCAAACAAATCATAACTTTTTTTTGTCCTCCTGTATACCTCAGATTACCTCCAGTTTATCTCCAGAATACATATCTCCAAGCACACACTTTGAAGCAGCACTCTCCAGAATATCTCCAATCACACACTCTAGAAGAAGCACTCTCCAGAATATCTCCAATCACACACTTAGAAGCAGCACTTAGAAGCAGCAAGTAAGCTATATTAGACAAGCTGATTGCCACAACCCTTAAACTTTCCTAGACGGGGGGTGCTTTTAGGACTTATATAACACCTGGGTAGGCCTGTGCTTATTTGCAAACAATAGCTAATTAACCAACAATCAATAGCAAATACCTAGCTAATCAAATAAAATGCCTTACCAAATTATCAACAGGAAATCAAACCTTGTGCAATCAGTAACCTTTTCCTATAGATGCATCTTACCTGTAACAATAAAAAGAAAAATCTTAGCAAAATCTTAAACAGTTGAAGAATCTGTAAAACTCTCCAGGATATCTCCAAACACACACTTTGAATCAGCACTTAGAAGTAGCAACCAAGCTATTATTATCAATAATAAATTAATATAAATAATTGTAAATTATTGTAATTCTTTAAGAAATCACTTGGCAAATATTTCAATAACTCCTTTCACGTGTTTCAAGCAGAACGTTTTCCAAACCCCATAGCATTTTGAAGGCTCTTTCCTATTTTTTTCATTGGCAGATATTTTTGATTTCTCATAATACAATATATTTACATCTAGGTTTAATGCGTGACCTATCCATTTTTAAAGAATGGCCTCTCTCTGTTCTTTTTGATATAGGTGGGAATCATGACTGAAATTCGATCAGACAAGGATGGCTCTGCGGTTATTACTCAAATTAATCCAAGTGGTAATTTGCAAGAGTTATCAGATCACATTCAAAATATAAAAAACACGACTCCAAAGCCTCTCATCAGCTTCAGCAAAGGAGAACCTATGGTTCTTGGTGTAAGTACATCAATTAAAATAATAATGGACAATTAAAATGTTCTGCTTTATTACTACACCCTACCCCCTGACCCTCCATCCCCCTACCATTGCCCCTCCATCCCCCTACCCCCTCTCACTGCCCCTCCAACCCCCCTACACCCTGTCACCACCCCCCTCCACCCCACCTATCCATTGCTCCTGCCCCTCCATACCCCTATCCCCTGTTACTACCCCATATCCCCATCACTGCCCCACCACACCCCCTACCCCCTGTCACTGCTCCTCCAATCCCCCTACACCCTGTCACCGCCCCTCCATTCCCCCTACCCCCTGTTACTGCCCCTCCATCCCCCTACCCCGTGTTACTAACCCCTACCCCCTTTCACTGCCCCTCTGTGCCCCTACCCCCTGTTACTGCCTCCATACCCTTACCCTGTGTTATTGCCTCCATCCCCTACCCCCTGTCACTGCACCTCCACCCCCCCTACCCTCTGTCACAGGCCATCCTACCCACTGTCACAGCCCCTCCATCCAGAGTAGGACCTGCCAAAGACGGGGCACATTGACATTGGGGCAGGCTTATGCAATGTATGATCATATCATGTACCTAAACCCCCACTATTTTTGCATAGATTAGGTGTTTTTAAAAATACTAATAAAATCTGTCAACATTGAAGTTGCTATTTAGTGAATAAGTGAGTGCGCTGGATCTTGTGTATTGTATAAATTGTCCTCCAGCAGCACTCCATTTATGCATGTTCAGGTGAGTGCAGCCCCCTGGTTTCATATTTAATCTTCAGGATATGAACTGGAAAACCAAAATAGCTGCTTGTGCCAGGAGCACACATATTCTAAACTCCTTACTGGGACTATCTCTAAAACAAGTGGTTGAGGAGCCAACTCGTTAGGAGGCCATACTAGTTTTAGTGTTAACAAATTGAGATTTGATATCAGATATTACTGTAGGTGAAAGTTTAGGATCCAGTGATCACCAGTCAGTGTGGTTTAATATAAGAAGAGTGACTGAGTCACACCGCACAAAAACAAAAGTTTTAGACTTTAGAGAAACAGATTTTTCTAAAATTAGAATGTGTGTAAGGGAGTCATTGTCAGACTGGAGCAGTTTAAATGGAGTCCAAGAGAAATTGGATTATTTAAAAGTTGCACTTCTGAAGGCAACAGAAAATTGTGTTAGGCTTGTCAGTAAGAGCAAAGAATTAAAGAAACCACTGTGGTAATCCGCAGAAGTGGCCAAAATAGTAAAAAAATCTAAGTTTGCATCTAGTAATTATAAAAAAATCCATAGTAAGACAAACAGATCTATAAGATTAGGCAGAAAGAGGCTAAGCAAGTTATAAGATCTTTCAAGTCACACACAAGAGAAAATAGCCCAGTCAGTAAAAAAGGGGGAAAATTTTTTTTTTTAGATACATAAATGAGAAAAGGAAAGTAAAACAAGAATTAGTTAGATTAAAAACAAAAGAAGGGGGGACGGAGCCTGGCTTCCAGGCTGCATGGACGTGCTGAAACTAAGCTCCTGACCACAATGGCACGATCTGGGGCAAAAAAAAAACCAAAAATGCACGCACAGCACCTGGAGGGTGATAGCACAGCCGGGGATACCCAGGCGAACCGACGGATACCAATCATTAACCAGTTACTGACCGGGAACCGGCACCCATACCAAGAGGCCTACCCGTGGCCCTGCCGGGGAGAGGCAGCCACTCTCCTCGCGGGCGACTCTGCGGAGAGATCCTCCAAACTACTAAGCTCCTACCCCCCGCCCCCGGACCTCCCGGTCCGCACAGTGTGTTTGGAGCGAGCCATGAAACGATGACAAAGCAGTGTTGTCTCCCACGAGGCACCTCCAAGATGGCGGCTGAGAACACACCGCCGGTGCTGATTCAATTCCAGCAAACACAGATTTACCAAGACACCACACAGCACCTGAACGCAATATTTAGACGCTGCTGGGCAAAACTCAGAGACCGCCTGAGAAAAGCACAGACTGCTCAGAGATCTGCACAGACGTCGGGTAAGCGAGGCAGCCGGCAGCGGGGACAAGGGGGCATACCCTCGGGCAAAACAACAGATGACCCACACACCAACAAACCACAAAGCCCACCCGGGCTGGAGGCCAAAAGGGCTAAGAACCCCATGCATTACCCACACGCACGGAGGCTCCAACACCGTAAGCAGCCAGAGTCCAACAGGCCCTCCACTGCCCCCGGAAGGGGAAGAAACTCAGGCTCCAGAAGCTGCAGAGTTTGTGGTACAGAGATGCAGGCCCCCGTGACAGCCTCAGGCTGGAGGGATATCCCCACAATGCCCACTGCTACTGCGGCCTTCACCACTCCACCGACAACTGCTAAGTGCTTCACTAGAAACGGCATCGGATAATAGAGACTCTCTACATAAAGCCTCCTGAAAGGTCAGCGCCAAGCCCATCATCCATCAGCTTAAGCCTGTTATACTGCGTGACCAGGACTGACACCCAGGGAGAGCAGAAGCATGAACACACACAGCTCTGAACCACAGTGACTTACAAGCTTACAGTAATGTTATATGATGTGCAAATGTTATTTTTTTCCTTGTTTTTTACTGTTATGAGTTCCCAGCATATAATCTACATCTTATACACTAAGCTCAAGAATAACTAACGTTGATATACACTATAAAATTGTGCATTGTCTAGCGTTTACCCTACTTGTTATCTATGCCAAACAGCTTGGGGCAAATCTGTATTCATTATCTGCACTGCAAAGATAAAAAAAAAAGGTAGGTAGGTATGTAGAAGAGGAAGGTCTATCTTACTGCCTCAATGAATATTTTTGTTCAGTGTTTACAGATGAAAATGAAGGAAAGGGACCTCAGTTAGGAAAAAGGACAAATGAGTCATTTGTTACATGTGAGTTTACAGAGGAAGAGGTTCTATTTCAACGGTCAAAAATAAAGACAAATAAGTCAATGGGACCTGATGGAATACACCCAAAGTTATTAAAAGAGCTCAGTGGTGTACTAGCAAAACCATTAACAGATTTATTTATCCAATCATTGTTAACGGGAGTAGTCCCAGAAGATTGGAAATTAGCAAATGTTGTGCCCATTCACAAGAAAGGTAGTAGGGAGGAGTCGGGCATTTATAGGCCAGTAAGCCTTAATTCAGTAGTGGTGAAAGTAATGGAAACCATGTTAAAGGATAGGATTGTTGAACATCTAAAATCACAGAGATTTAAAGATCAGAGACAACATGGGTTTACTTCAGGGAGGTCATGCCAAACTAATCTTATTGATTTTTTTGGATTGTATAACTAAAATATTTGATCAGGGTGGTGCGGTAGACATTGCTTACCTAGCTTTCAGTAAGGCTTTTGACAATGTTGCACATAGAAGACTTATCAATAAACTGCAATCTTTAAGTTTGGATTCCAATATTGTTAAATAGGTTTGGCAGTGGCTGAATGACAGGCAAAAGAGGGTTGTAGTCAATGGAGTATATTCGAAGCAAGGTCTTGTTACCAGTGGGATACCTCAGGGATCTGTACTTTGACCCATTCTCTTTAATATTTTTATTAGTAATATTGCAGAAGGTCTTGGTGGTAAGGTATGTCTTTTTGCTGATGATACAAAACTATATAACAGGGTTGATGTTCCACGAGGGATAAGCCAAATCGTTTAGGTAAACTAGAAAAATGGTCAGAGCTGTGGCAACTGACATTTTATGTGGATAAGTGCAAGATAATGCATCTTGGACGTAAAAAACCCAAAGGCAGAGTATAGAATATTTGATAGAGTCCTAACCTCAACATCTGAGAAAAGGGATTTAGGGGTAATAATTTCAGATGACTTAAAAGTAGGCAGACAGTGTAATAGAGCAGCAGGAAATGCTAGCAGAATGCTTGGTTGTATAGGGAGAAGTAGAAAGAGGGAAGTGATCATACCATTGTACAGAACACTAGTGAGACCTCACTTGGAGTACTGTATGCAGTACTGGAGACCATATCTCCAGAAGGATATTGATACTCTGGAGAAAGTTCAGAGAAAGGCTACTAAACTGGTCCATAGATTACAGGATAAAACTTACAAGGAAAGGTTAAAGGATCTTAACATGTATAGTTTGGAGGAAAGACGAGACGGGGGAGGCAGGGGGGATATGATAGAAACATTTAAATACATAAAGGTAATCAACACAGTAAAGGAGGAGACTATATTTAAAAGAAGAAAAACTAGGGGGCGTGTCCTAGTGGCGGACGAGGACGGACGCGTGAGTGCTGAGCTCCTCCACTGTACGGTGTTTGCAGCACAGACACGGCGTACACCCGACCGCAAAAACCAGCAGAACGGCGGGTAAATACTTGCCGCACACCACAGGCGCAAATGGCGGCGAAATCGTGCAAGAAGTTGAAGCAGAAAACGCTTCAAATGCACCTCACCTCGGCCACCATGCAGGAGATGGCGGGACAAGATGGCGCCGACGGCCCGAGCTCACCAGCCTCCGTTTCGGAAGTGAGTGACCCTGCTCACAGCATGGTTGACTACTCTGCCCCAGTTACAACTGCCACTCTCAAATCCTTACTTGCAGACCTAAAATCCACATTCCACACAGACCTCATGCAAATAGCATCAGACATCAGGTCAGATATTCAACAAGTGGGAGACAGGACTGCAAAGTTAGAAGAAAGGGCAGACGAAATAACAGACGCCCATAACTCTCTGGCAGATGCCTATACTGAACTACAAGACAAGCTTAAAAGGCTAGAAGACAAAGTGGCCGACCATGAAGATAGAGATCGGCGTAATAACATCAGGCTGAGGGGGATTCCAGAATCAGTAGCACCGCAAGAGCTGCAATCCTACGTACAGGACATTTTTAAAGAATATGTGCCAGAATTAACGGAAGGAGAGCTCTTACTCGATCGGACCCACAGGTTGCCCAAACCAAAACACCTGGGCCCACAAACTCCCAGAGATGTAATCACGAAGATACACTACTTTACTACTAAAGAAAGAGTCATGCACGCAGCGCGACGAAACCCTCCCCCACCGGGGTGATTTAACCAAATTAAGTTATTTATTGATCTATCTGCATCGACGTTGATGAAACGGAAAGCCTTTGCCCCCATCACTGCAGCACTACGAGAGGCAAATTATTCAGTACAAGTGGGGCTTTCCAACCAGACTTTTAATCAAACGCAATGGGACAGATTCCAGTATTGCATCTCCCGAAGAAGGAAGGAAGATATTGCGGGCCTGGGACATCCCTCTCACTACCACAATGACTCCCGCACTACAACACACCAAATCACCAGTGAAATTGAATAGAGTTTGGACTCAAGTGCCACGCGGCTGGTCGCAGGAACCTACATGACCTCTACAAAGGGACGATAAGTATCCTCATTTGCTGTGCCTAACCCGTGTTACACTGCTATATTACTGTTGATATGAAAAGACAACACACTCACACAAAAAAACAAAAAAACAAAAAAAAAAACAACTGTATATATCCAAATAGTGTATGCCTTGTTAAGATCTTAGCAATTGTAACAACGTACGGAGCACTGCGTCCGGTATGGGTCTCTTATGTACGTAGACCCACTAATCTGTTGCTGGTCACCTACCCCCCAAAGTGGCTTAATTATGAGCCTTATCATTAACTGTTTTCCACCTCTTGGTCGACTTCGCTTGACCAACGGTTTTATGTACATAGTTTGCATGTTTTTCCTTATGTTTTTACCCTCTCTTTTATGTTTGTTTTCTGATAACTATGATTTTAGTGTACAGACTTGGCTTATTCTAAAGATCCTAGGGATACCAGTATCACCTCACCATTCTATCCACCCATGGGACCTAAATATCAGGCCACTACATATATACCAGGTATGAATTGGGATGACCGACATATATGCTGGACCTTTGGCCCCTGTGCAATGCCCGCAGATTGGGGGGAGACTCATAGACTCGCGAAGGGGGGGCTTGGTGGTCCCACTCCTCCCACTTGTAACATTAGACCGCTGACCATACACCATGGTGCTTAATATCTTTTCCCTGAATACCAAGGGGCTCAATTCTCCACACAAGAGGCGCTTAGCGCTAAAGGAGGCTAAATCCCTAGATGCCCATGTGGCATTCTTTCAAGAAACACATTTCAAATGGGGCCAACGTCCAAAATTTACTTCCACAGCATACCCCATAGATTATCATGCTTGCTATGCAAAAAAAAAAAAGAGGAGTGTCCATCTTAATAAGCAAAGATGTAGCTTTCTCCCTAGTTCGCAAAATTGGAGACAAGAAAGGCAGATATATAGTGCTACAATGCTATGTTAACAACAACCCGTATACGTTTATTAATGTGTATAGCCCCAATGATCAACAAATTGATTTCTTGGAATTGGTTTTGATGCTATGTACAAAACATGCCTTTGGAGAGGTGATAGTGGGGGGGGACACCAATTTTTTGTTAGATGATTGTCTAGATTCCTCGCACCAGAAACCCCTACAGAACCAGACCATCAAAACCAGGCGGAAGTTAATCACTCGTATTAGACACATCCTCACAGCGCACGATTATGTAGACCCATGGCGCATACAACACCCTAGCGAAAGGGACTTTACATGCCACTCGGCAGCGCACAATTGCTATTCCAGGATAGATCGATTTCTGGTTCCCTTAGGGATGCTCCCCAAAATAGAAAGTACCCACATCGGGCTCATTAGTTGGTCTGACCATGCACCAGTTACTATGTCCCTAACAGAACGATTCCCGACTAAAGGCCGAGGCAGCTGGCGCTTAAATGACTGGCTATTAAAGGACCCGAGTGTAATGGACCAGGTTAAACAAGACCTACAGCACTACTTCCAAGGCAATACAGAACAAAGTTCCACCCCTGATCAAATCTGGTTAGCACACAAAGCAGTAATTAGGGGGTGCTTCATTAAAGACGCTAGTTATGCCAAAAAGAAACGCCTCGAGAATTACACTAACATCCTGAAGGAACTTACTGAGGCCACACACTCAAACAAACTAACCCCAACCCCTACTTACCATGCCACTATCTTACGATTGCAGAACCAATTGCGCGACCTGGAATTGTCCAAGTCAACGACACTGCTAAGACGTATGAAACATAGCTTCTTTGCTTCGGGAAACAGAGCAGGAGCCAAACTGGCTTCCCAGCTAAAAGCACGTTCCAAAGCCGTTAAACTCTCACACCTCCTGGATGCTAAAGGAGGGAAAATACTAGACCCGCAACACATAGCAGACACGTTTGCTACCTACTACAGTAAATTATACAATCTCAACACAGATCCACAAGTGCCCACTCCCTCCGCCACAGAAATAAACAGGTTCCTATCAGACCTTACGCTTCCGTCTCTGAGCGAAGACGACGCGAATTCACTCCTCACCCCTTTCACCATTGAGGAAATTTCTTCCACAATTGAATCCCTCCCGGCACAGAAAGCGCCTGGACCAGATGGTCTGCCTAACGCCTATTACCGCACGTACCAGACAACTCTAGCCCCCCATTTACTGAACCTTTTCAACCACAGCATACAAAAAGGGACATTACCGGATGAATTGTTGTTAGCCCATATCTTGACGTTACCTAAACCGGGGAAGCCACCGACAGAGTGCAAAAACTTTAGACCCATCTCCCTTCTCAACTGTGACGCAAAGATATACGCTAAAATTCTCAGTAACAGACTGGCCAAATTCCTGCCCAAACTCATACACAATGACCAAACCGGCTTTATCAAAGGTAGGCAGGGTTCAGACAATTCCAGGAAGGTATTGAATCTCTTAGCTGAACTGGAAAGAACCAAAGGTCAAGGCCTCTTCTTGGCGCTCGACGCAGAGAAGGCCTTTGATAGGCTCAACTGGGCTTATATGCAAAAGGTTCTTCACAAATTTAGCTTTCCTCCTCCCAAATCATGGCACTATACACCACCCCGGCTGCCAAGGTGTCCTGCGGTGGTTTCCTCTCCTCGAAGTTTCATATAACGAATGGGACTAGACAGGGCTGCCCACTCTCTCCCCTGTTGTATATCCTCTCCCTGGAACCCCTGGCCCAAAAGATTAGGGATCACGAACATATACGAGGTATACCCGTTAAAGGAAAAGAATACCGACTTTCTCTTTTTGCGGACAATGTTATAATATCCCTCTCAAACCCAAGACGAGCGCTACCTCATATTCTCGATCTGCTGACACAATTTGGGAACGTCTCCCATTACAAATTAAACCGAGACAAAACACAGGCGCTACCTGTTAGTATACCCCAGGACGTTTTAGATGCCTTAAAATCCTCTTACCAATTCGACTGGAGAAATAGCACCTTAACGTACCTGGGGGTTAAAATATCTCCTACAATGGCAGGAATTATAAAACATAATTACACACCTCTATTACAGCTATGCACGAAGGAGTTAGCAGGTTGGAAAGCAACCCACCTATCCTGGCTAGGTAAGAGTAACACGTTCAAGATGATGACTCTCCCAAAACTCCTTTATGTGTTTCGCATGCTCCCTCTCCCGATACCCGCTGCACTATTTAAGGCACTACAATCCTCCTGTAACACATTCGTTTGGGGGGGGCAAAAAAGCGAGGTTACCACTTAAGCTACTACAAAATACACCTGACAGAGGGGGAGTGGGCCTTCCTAACATTCACCTCTACTTCAAAGCAGCCGCCCTGGCGACATGTATAGCGGCACACTCACCCCAAGGCCACACACAATGGGTGGATATGGAGAGGGACCAATTTCAAGATAATTCCATGACGGACTATTTGTGGACTCCAAAACGCCTTCGTTACATGCACACACCTTTTTTCCCTACCACTAGGCTGACTATATTGATGTGGGATTCCTTTATGGCCCAAATAGGCTACAGGCATAAGCTGCATCCCAAGGCCCCCCTAACGGCACTAAAAACCATAACCCAATCACTTTCTCTTTCCCACTGGACACGAATGGGTTTAGACAGACTTGAGCACTTCTTGGAAGACAGTCATAAAGTAATATCCTTCCCAGAACTAAGGAGGAAATGGAACGTGCCTGCCCAGGACACTTTCAAATACTTGCAAGTCAGGAGTATACTGACTTCCCACGCTCTGCCCCCGCCAACTCCTACCAGCATGAATAACCCATTAATGTCCTCTCTGATTATGCTTAGATGTAGGGACACACCGAACAAACCTAAAGCCCTCTCCATTTGCTACAGAACATGGCTAGCAATGCAGCCAGATGTACCGCTGCTGTGCAAAAAGCAATGGGAGGGGGAATTGGGTACGGACCTACCGGATGGTACCTGGTTGGGTGCCTTGAACGGCCTGTCTAAATGGACAAAATGTTATTCCCACATAGAAGCCCACAAAAACCTACTTTACCGATGGTACCTTACCCCAACTAAGCTACACAAAATATACCCGACTGTGTCTCCCCTGTGCTGGAGGTGTGGAGTGGAGGAGGGCACGATGATGCACATTTGGTGGTCCTGCACCGGCATCACACCTTTGTGGGAAGATGTAGGAACACTTCTGAGACAATTGGGACTTTCAGCTTTCTCCCCATCCATTCCCAACTGCATATTACTGCTACCCGAAACCAAGGTTAAATCAATCTATCACCAACTAGTAGCGATAACCTCTCTAGCAGCTAGAAACCTCATAGCGACAAATTGGAAAAGCACAATATGTCCGCCCATGTCACAATTAAAGGATAAATTGCAACAATACTATATTTACGAAAAAATTTCTCTGGGCTCCCCCTCCCAAGCCCTTAGGTTTCGAGAAACATGGTGCAAGTGGACTCAGCTGACGAACCAGCAAGCCACATGAGATGACATACTGGGTTCAAATACTGACCTCTAGACCCCTAAAGGATTGATCAATAATCTTGGGAAATATGCCACCAAGCAGATTACACTTTGTCCCCCTGTTCTGTTTCTCCCGTTTCCTTCCCCATCTCCGTCCCTTCCCCGGTTTACTACTGCTCCCCTTCTGTCTATGCTATACACAGATGCATGCGGGACTACCCCGCGACCATTTGCAGGTATATGACATGCCATGTTGGCAAGTTATTGGAACTACAACCTTATGAATATGTTAGGCTGTGTTAAAATACATACTTATGTTTTGTAAGCAAGCTGCGACTTGCACTACTAATATGTTATTGTCTTTGTACATGCGACTGTGTACGGTGTTTTGCCCACTCGTTGTAAAACCAATAAAATACAATTTGAAAAAAAAAAGAAGAAAAACTACCACAACAAGAGGGCATAGTCTTAAATTAGAGGGGCAAAGGTTTAAAAATAATATCAGGAAGTGTTACTTTGCTGAGAGGGTAATGGATGCATGGAATAGCCTTCCAGCTAAAGTGGTAGAGATTAACACAGTGAAGGTGTTTAAGCATGCGTGGGATAGGCATAAGCCTATCCTAGACTAAAGATAAGGACAGGGACTAATGAAAGTATTTAGAATATTGGGCAGACTAAATGGGCCAAAAGGTTCTTATCTGCCGTCATATTCTATGTTTCTGGGATATAAAAACTTCTAACACAAGTTAACCTCTGATTGAAAATAAAACCATTTTGTATTCATGAAGACTGTGTGAGTCACAGGCAGGGGTAGTGTGGCTAGGGCTGCATAATCAGAAACAGTAATTTAACTCCTAAATAGCAGAGAATAGAGCAGTGAGACTGCAGGGGCATGATCTATAAACCAAAACTGCGTAATTAACCTAAAGTTGTTTTGATGCCTATAGTATACTTTTAAAAGTGTAGAAAATTGTGTTACACAATACCTTGTCTGATCATTCATCAATGCTTCTTTCAAAGGAGATATAATAAGTTCCATTATACATAAAAAAAAGAGAAAATAGTGGAGAATGTTCTAGTACAGTACAACATATTCATTTATTTTACCAAACTTAAAGCCAGAATACAAGTAAATTGCTCTTTTGCCAGCACCACTCTCCCTCCCTGGTCTCCTCTTCCAGTTACTTTATTTTTAGTGCATTCCAAGTGTGTGATATATTATATATTATATATATACACACAGTGACAAATGCTGACACTCAAATGCTCTTTAAACAGAAAAAAAATCGGAAATAGAAATGACTGAATCTTTCATGCAGTTAAACCATCTTTCCTAGTAAACCATGACAACATAACTGATCACGTATCCCCGCCTCTCAGGTGATTTGAAAGGATCTTTAAAAGGCAATTAAATAATCACTTATCTTGTATACAAAGCTCCCTCCTACCCAGCATCCCCAGTCTTTTTTTTTTTTTTTCTCAAATTTGTTACTTTGTGATATGTGTGCATATCCACTTCCAGCTAATGCCAACATTTCTTTGACAGCGTTCTTCTTCACAGTTATCTTCGCTTGTTTTACTCTACTTAGGACCACTGGGGAGAGGAAAGGGGTTAAAACTTACCTTTCTCCAGCACCGGGCGGGGAGCTCTCCGCCTCCGATCCTCCTCCTCTCCTCCCTTTCGGCTGAATGCGCACGCATTCAGCCGGTCTCATAGGAAAGCATTTACAATGCTTTCCTATGGACGCTTGCGTACTCTCACTGTGATTTTCACAGTGAGAATCACGCAAGCGCCTCTAGCGGCTGTCAATGAGACAGCCACTAGAGGATTTGAGGGCTGGATTAACCCATTTATAAACATAGCAGTTTCTCTGCTATGCTTCTCCGGTTCGGTGGTTATGGTGTCTGCTGCAGTGTTGGAGTCCTCAGGAAGCGCTAGGAGCATCCTTCAACGGAGGTACCCAGTCGGGGTGCCAGGTGATCCGTTACAATGACCCTTTTGGATACGGCTATGAATCCATAACAGAAGATGTGGAATTGTAAATATCTATGTAATAAAAATAAAACATGTATGTCTTGTCCAGTTCTTCATTGAATTCACAATTGCCCTTATACAATATGAAATTATTAAGAGGTATGTGATTTTGTGAATATATAAATAATACATTTTGTAAATATTAAATGCATTTTGTGAATATATATTTTTTCTGTATTATTTTCCATACAGGTGACTCAGATATTTTCAGGAATATTATTCATTATTTTTGGCATTATTTTTTGTTTTCTTCCACAATATGGACCATACATGTATTTCCTGATCCTTAATAGTGGTTTACCTTTTTGGTCTGGAGTAATGGTAAGAAAATTAATACATTTTTATTCCTCTCACCAAATCTCAGTTCTTGAATATCTTACTGTGCTACATAGGTTAATATTACTCTATAGAGATAAGAACGCCTCCTGTTTCATACATAATTTATGAAGAATATTTATAGTGATTTTATTTTTCTTTCTTATGTTTATTTAGTTTGTTTGTTTGTTTTTGTCATAAAGGCATTAATGTTTTTTAGATTCTTGAATTAAGGCAGCATTGCAGGTTCTGGTATTTTCCAGAAGTCAGTTTTGCATTGTGTTCATCCTGTAGACCAGTTCTGAGCATTTTGCTATCATTAATATATCCCTAAACAAAAACATACGATTTCTGGAAAGAAATTGCTATATTGTTTGTTAATACGTACAGATGGAAGTTTTAAACACATAATTACATATGACAAGTATGAAAAAGGAACAAAATTAAATATGTACATTTTTGTTGACCTATCAGACCCCTGTCATACACTCCTGTAATGAGGCATTTTCACTACATGGACCAGATGTCATCAACGCACAAGAAATCCATTGTAGTGAGACATTTGAATGTGCCTAAATCTAGATTCTGCAAAACGATAAATGTCTTAATCATCCTTTATTTTTGTAAAGGGTTTAGGTAGTGGAGGATAATTCTATACTGATCCATGTTTTCTTCATTCTTTCCTAACATCCCTTTTCTCTCAATTTTCCTTGTTTCTTCACTTTCTCTTTTAATATGCTATTCAACCTACCCTTGAATTTGTACATGATCTGTGTTCTAAAGAATGATCCAAATGGTCCTTTCATGGTAATAGACTTTTTTACATCCTATATCGTACTTAATTTGTCATAAAATGTGCTAAATTAAAACACGATGATGGTTTTATTTTAGACATGTATGTGTTTCTTAGCAACAACTAAAAATGGAATTTAAAAAAATATAAAATATGTTCCTCCGGTTTTTCTACCCCAATTATAAATATAAAAATTCAGACAGGTTCAAATGCATCATGCAGTGACCATGCATATTTAGCCTGTGTGTTTGTGTTTGAATTGTAGATGATTCATTCACCATTCTTTTTAATCCTCAAAAATCCAATGTGATATTTTGAAAAACAAACTGTTACATCTGTCTCTTTAATTGCAACAGTTCTGTCCATATAAACATCTTGATAAGACAAGAAAACACATGTATTTTCTGTGAGTCGTGTATATGACAATGTGCTTTTTGGGGAAAAAAATGCCTGAATAAAACCATCAAACTGTGTTTTATTTTTTGCTTATTGGGGGATTTCCTTATATCGGTGCTCTGTGCCTTTAAGACCAAAACTATTTTAAAGTGCAGCAAATGTGAACAAGTGCATTATGCATTAAAGTGCATAAAAACATTTTATCACTTGTGAATCATGAGAAAAGTGCAAACTGGGGTGGAAAGTTGTACACTCACTCTAAATTTCATATGCTGTCATATGTTTCAGAGAACATGGAAAAAAAAGAGAAACAGAGTACAAATAGTGTAAATCTGTGACACAATAGGATCAATATTAATGGATGCAGTTTACACGCACAAAATTAGAGCAGATAAGCCTGCTCTAACTGTAGTGGCTTCCATGCAAAAGATTAAGGACCACTATAGGCACCCAGACCACTTCAGCTCAATGAAGTGGTCTGGGTGCCAGATCCATCTAGGATTAACCCTGCCTGCTGTAAACATAGCAGTTTCAGAGAAACTGCTATGTTTACCTATGGGTTAATCCAGCCTCTAGTAAATCCAGCCTCTGTGATTTTCACAGTGAGAAGATGCCAGCGTCTATAGGAAAGCATTGAGAATGCTTTCCTATGGACTGACTGAATGCGCGCGCACGAGGAGGAAAGTCCCCAGCGCCGAGGGAGGGAGAAAGATAAGATGTTAACCCCTTCCTCCCACTTGAGCCCGGCGGGAGGGGGGCAATGAGGGTGGGGGGGACCTATTAACACTATAGTGCCAGGAAAACGAGTTTGTTTTCCTGGCACTATAGTGGTTCTTTAATAAAATAATCAAGTTGCTATTGTCTGATTTGAGTGTTGCAATTTCTAATCTGCTTTAATGTTAACACTATTAAATGCACCACATTAGTCATACACACAGGATCAAGGCAATATAACTGAATTATAAAAATGACTGCATGTAAAGCTACCGCCACAGCACTAGGTAGCGTGCACAGCCGTTGCCACAGTACTTGAAGACACTCACAGCACTAGCTACAGTATCAGTAAGTGTCCAAGAGTACCAGATTGCACCTACAACACTTCCTGCACCTCATAAATGCCAGTAATAATAATAATATTAATAAAGGGCCCTGGAGGGGGCCCTCTAACAGAGGCCGTCTCAGGATGCATTAGAGAGTCTATTAGAAATAAATAAATTTTCACCTGTGTATCTCTTAACCTCCGTTTTGTGTTACTTATCCCATCTTTTGAATGTCTTCGCCCTCTTAGTCTATCTACCCCTTTAGTTTACTTTATCCTCCATTTTTCCCCTTTGTGTCTTACACCCCTTGTGTGTCTCTTACTTTCCCCCAGCCCCTTTGTGTGTCATTGTCCCCTTCCCCAGTTCCTCTGTGTGTCTCTTTATCTTCTTCACAGCCCCTGTGTGTCACTGTCCACTTTTCAAGCTTCTCTGTCTGTGTCATTGTCCCCTTCCTCAGCCCCTCTGTGTATCCCTGTCCCCATCCCCAGCTCCTCTGTGTATCACTGTCCCCTTCCAAGCCCCTCAGTGTGTGTCATTGTCCCTTTCCCGGACCCTCAGTGTGTTTCATTGACCTCTACTCCAGCCCCTCTGTGTTTCTGCTCTCCACTCTTAGACTGCTAATTACACACACACACAGAGTGCTGAATACATGCACACACAGACTACTGAATACACACACACAGACTGCTGAATATACACACGCAGATTGCTCAATACACACAGAGACTGCCCCCATGCTTCACTTACCTAATATCTAAGCTGCCCATCATGCCTCACTTACCTGATCTGTAGGCTGCCCCCATGCCTTCACTTACCTAATCTGTAGTCTGCCCCCTATCCCTTACTTACCTGTCTGTAGTCTTCCCCTATCCCTTACATACCTGATCGGTAGGCTGCCCCCCCCTCCCATGCCTCACTTACTGATCTGTAGGCTTCCCCCCCATCCCTCACTTACCAGATCTGTAGGCTGCCCCCCCATCCCTCACTTACCTAATCTGTAGGCTGCCCCTCATTCCCCCCATGCTTCACTTACCTGATCTGAAGGTTGCCTCACTTCCCCTATCCCTCACTTACCTGATCTGTAGGCTGTCTCTGCAGTCTGGAAGTTGTTGGCTGCACTCTGTGCCGTTCCCCTGCGGATTCAGTCAGGAAAGAGAAGCAGGGATAAGATGCAGCTTTCTATCCCTGCCTCTCTCCATACACAATGCCACCTACTGGCCGGTGCCGGTATTGCAGTGTATTCTGAATCTCAAAAGAAAAATAGCACAAACTGAAAAATCCAGGGGGGGGGGGGAGGAAGGTTGCAAATGATAATAAAGTTGAAGTTGTCAGAATGCTAATGTCAAATTTTATATTTACAGTATATTATATCTGGATCATTATCAATTAGTGCTGCAGTGAAACCAACATTAGGAAAGGTAAGACCACATACTACTTGTTATAAATATAATGAAAACTGTTAAAAGGGGAACGGTCACTTGTTCAAATTGTTCAATAGTATGTATACTAATCCCTGTATTCCTGTATTTATCAAATGTGTATTTGTGAAATGTAAAAAATAAAATTAAATATAAAAATCCAGACTTTTTTTATCCTGCAATTGGGCACCTCTATCTTAGCTACCTGTCAATCATTGTTATAATATCTGTCCTTTGCATCTGGCAGTCAGAATAGAGAGATCATACAGAGATAAGGAGATTTGAAACAATGTTTCTATTTCTCCTCCTCACTAGCAATGTCTGCCATGACTTTGCCTTGTCTGAACTTGATTGTGATGTAATTTACTAAATTATTAATATAAAGCTCAAAGAAAACACATTTTATGGGGGAAAAAACAAACACGTTTTAGGTGATTTTTGATGTTTTATATGATGGTGTAAATTCCCAAAATGTGGCATTTTCCCTTACCACACTCCATTTATTGCCCTGTCTCAGGAGTTGCTTCAGCAATGGCTAAACCGAGATATTGGGTTAAATGATGTTTATTGCAGGGGTTATCTTTATTAAATACATATTTATTCTGCATTTAGAGGGAGGGTGCAATTTAAATAGAAGAAATAAACCTGAAATAATACAGGTACTACTTCCTTCTCATTCCAAAGAAATCATATAAATGAAACCACAACATATGCAGGTGATACTCGAAAAATTAGAATATCGTGCAAAAGTTCATTTATTTCAGTAATGCAACGTAAAAGGGGAAACTAATATATGAGATAGACACATTACATGCAAAGCAAGATAGTTCAAGCTGTGATTTGTCAGAAGTGCGATGATTATGGCTTACAGCTCATGAAAACCCCAAATCCACAATCTCAGTAAATTAGAATGTTGTGAAAAGGTGCAATATTCTAGGCTCACAGTGTCCCACTCTAATCAGCTAAGTAAGCCATAACAGCCTTTAAATGGTCTCTCAGTCTGGTTCAGTAGGAATCACAATCATGGGGAAGACTGCTGACCTGACAGTTGTGCAGAAAACCATATTTGACACCCTCCTTAAGGAAGGAAAGCCTCAAAAGGTAATTGCGAAGGAAGTTGGATGTTCCCAAAGTGCTGTATCAAAGCACATTTATAGAAAGTTGTGTGGAAGGGAAAAGTGTGGAAGAAAAAGGTGCACAAGCAGCAGGGATGACCACAGCCTGGAGAGGATTGTCAGGAAAAGGCCATTCAAATGTGTTGGGGACTTTCACAAGGAGTGGACTGAGGCAGTGCATCAAGAGCCACCACACACAGACGGATCTTGGACATGGGCTTCAGATGTCGTATTCCTCTTGTCAAGCCGCTCCTAAACAACAAACAACGTCAGAAGCGTCTTACCTGGGCTAAAGAAAAACAGACCTAGTCTGTTGCTCAGTGGTCTAAAGTCCTCTTTTCTGATGAGAGCAACTTTTGCATCTCATTTGTAAACCAAGGACCCAGAGTCTGGAGGAAGAATGGAGAGGCACACACTGCAAGATGCTTGAAGTCCAGTGTGAAGTTTCCACAGTCTGTGTTGATTTGGGGAGCCATGTCATCTGCTGGTGTTGGTCCACTGTGCTTCATTAAGTCCAGAGTCAACGCAACCGTCTACCAGGAGATTTTGGAGCACTTCATGCTTCCTTTCACAGATGAGCTTTATGGGGATGCTGACTTCATTTTCCAGTAGGTCTTGGCACCTGCCCACACTGCCAAAAGCACCAAAGCCTGGTTCAATGACCGTGGAATTACTGTGCTTGATTGACCAGCAAACTCGCCTGACCTGAACCCCATACAGAATCTGCCAAGAGAAAGATGAGAGACATGAGACCGAACAATGCAGAAGAGCTGAAGGCCGCTATTGAAGCATCCTGGTCTTCCATAACACCTCAGCAGTGCCACAGGCTGATAGCTTCCATGCCACGCCGCATTCAGGGCCGTCTTTAACGCGGGGCAAAAGGGGCAGCTGCCCCGGGCCCTGTCATTCCTAGGGGGCCCAAAGCAGCTGCCCCTTGAGCCCGCTGGCCGCTGTGGTGCTTGCGGGCAGACCACTGCGGGCCGCACGATGAGGGGCCCCATCGGGTGGCCCATGCTCTTAGGGCCACCCGATGGCAATGAATCTGCAGGGGCCCGGTCAGCACTGCGGCACTTTAACAGTGCGACCGGGCCCCCAGTGATGAGGTCAGCGCTAGGAGGAAGTGCAGTCACTTCCTCCTAGCTAACACGGAGAATGCCGCGTGGGAGGGAGGAAGACAGGAGCGCAGACAGAGAGAGCGCTCAACTCCCAACAGCCTCAGACAGCCACTGGACAGCAGGTAAGTCACCCTCCTGCACCCAAAAGGTAGGAAACAGGAGGGTGACTGAAATTGTATATTTTTCATGCATGTCTGTTTGTGTGTATATATCTGTCTGCATGTGTATCAGTCTGTGCATGTGTCTGTTTGTGTGTGTATCTGTCTGTATGTGTATATGCATGTGGGTCTGTGTGTATATCTGTCTGTATGTATATCTGTGTATTTGTATGTGTGTTTCTGTGTGTATAGCTGTCTTTATGTGTATATGCATGTGTCTGTATCTGTGTGTATCGGTCTATATGTGTATCTATGTGTCTGTATGAGTCTCTGTATGCGTATTTGTGTATGTGTACCTGCATGTGTGCCAGTGTGTCTGTATGTGTTTCTGTGTATCTGAATAGGTGTCTGTATGTGTTAGTGTGTGTTTGTGTAACTGCATGTATGTCTGTGTATGTATCTGCGTGTTATTGTGTGTATCTGCATATATGTCAGGGTGTGTTTGTCTGTTTATCTGTGTTTTAGTGTGTGTCTGCATGTTTGTCAGCGAGTATCTGTATATCTGTATGTGTGCCAGTGTGTATCTGTGTATGCACCTGTGTGTCTGTGTATCTGTCTTTGTATGTCTGTGTATTTAGATGTATGTACCTGTATATGTTTGAGCCTGTGTATGTGTGAGTCTGCATTTGTGTTAGTGTTTGCATCTGTATGTGTATCTGTGTGTGTATTTTCACTAGGTAAAAGTGTGACTATGTCTACGATCTCTGTGTGTTTTTTTATTTTTGTGTGTCTTTGGGTGGAAGGCGTTTTTGCATGCTAGAAGGTGGGCGGGAGGGGACCAGGGCGCCCAAGCTAATGCTTGCCCAGGGTCCAGTCAACATTAAAGACGGCCCTGGCCGCATTGAGGCAGTAATGGCTGCATAAGGGGCCCAAACCAAGTACTGAGTCCATATGCATGCCTATACTTTTCAGAGGTCCGATATTGTTCTATGTACACTCCTTGTTTTATTGATTGCATGTAATATTCTAATTTACTGAGATTGTGGATTTGGGATTTCCATGAACTGTAAGCCATAATCATCACACTTATGACAAATCACGGCTTGAACTATCTTGCTTTGCATGTAATGCGTCTATCTCATATATTAGTTTCCCCTTTTACATTACATTACTGAAATAAATGAACTTTTGCACGATATTCTAATTTTTCGAGTATCACCTGTAGTAGTTAGTGCATACATAGGAATGATATGTAATCAAGATAGATAAGAGATATACATGGGAAAAGGTTGTTTTGACACATTTGCCAGCTTCTAGTTGTCACCCTGAAATAAGTATCTAATCGTCCGTGAACGTGCGCAGAGTTGCAAAGTGTTAAGAATTAACTTTATCCATTTAAGTTCCCAGTTTGTGTTTGGAAAGAGGAATGCAAACTCAGATTGCATAGTGCAGAATGTATATTCCTTTTTTTCCCCAAAACATACAGGAGGAAAAGTTGCTGAACTTTCATAAAAAAGAAAGAAAGGAAAATAAATAAGCACGTGTTTTATACCCCACCTCCTATAGAATGTAAGCTCGTTTGAGCAGGGTCCCCTTTAACCTATCGTTCCTGTAAGTTTTCTTGTAATTGTCCTATTTATAGTTAAATCCCCCCTCTCATAATATTGTAAAGTGCTACGGAATCTGTTGGTGCTATATAAATGGCAATAGTAATATTAATAATAATTATTGCCATTTATATAGAACCAAAGAATTGACCATCCACTAGAGGGAGCCACTGAGCAGTCCCTACTTTTCTTAACGCTTATCTCACACATTACTTTACATTTAGTGGGAAAGTATGGGTGGGCTAGCTGTAAGTGTCTTGCTTGGTTATTCAGTTAATTTTGGTAGGGAAAATATCCACATTATAGTTTTCTGGGGGGTTTTGGGATCTCCAGAAATTTTTTTGTATGAATTTCAGTAGTCAGCTTACTGCAGTATTGAAAGTATTTATTAATTACAGATACATATTAATAATTAGAAATAGTTGGGGAGAGGGATTAAACCATGTCAAGAGTTTAATTTGTTTTCTTTATTAAGGGTAGGCAAAACAAGAGAGAGCCTTTTCATTAATTGTACCATGTGTTAATTCCTAATTTGAAGTGTAGATCAGCACCGAGAATGGTTTCAGTCAAAGATAATCTGTGTTTTGGACTAAGAGTTACTGCATACTAGACCAAATGATTAAAAATAATTGGAAATAAAAATAATTGGAAATAAATCACATTCATTTTCTTGCATTTCAGGTGAGATCAAGCCTGGTTTTAAACATCATAAGCTCAATTATTGCAGGTATTGCAATAATACTGCTTTCGATTGCAATGGTTTTTCAATGGTACAGATCAAATATTTTCACCTGTTTTTATTATAAATCATCCGTTCACTGTGAAGGCAATTTTAACCCTAAGGTAAATAAACTCTCTATTATTGCTCTTAAAATTATGAGGACGATAGACAGACAGATCTGTATTTATCATGTGAATAGTAGTTTAAAGGAACACTCCAGGCATCGTAATCACTACAACCCACTGTAACAATTCAAATCAAAGACTATTTTGACAACTTATTTGGTCCTTTTGGGAGCAAGCTACCACCTCTCCTGCTGCTGGAAACGTAGCAGCTTGCAGGAGCTTCCACAGCAGCAATGGCACATGGCAGGACCCATCGGGCAGGCTTCCGATGCTCTGCCTGTGTGCTAAATGCCTCAAGGGGTCGAGGCACTCAGTGAAGACCCCCTTGAGGACTAATGACGGTTCTGAACCATCATAATGTAAAACGAGCCATCCTTATTACTTACCCGTTCGCCGCTGTTTCCTCGCCGGTGATCAGTGTTGCTTACCATCTGGGGGGGACTGCCTGACAGCCCAGACAGTCCCACCACAGCAAATTAGGCCCCTGCGGGCCATGTGATCTCTCTGAAAGAGCGATCATATGGCCTCAATAGCCGTCCATGCATCTGCCTGCAGGGGGACTGCCTAAACTGACAGGCAGTCTCCCTGCTTCTGAAAAATAAAATAAGTAAGCAAATAGAAAAAAAATAAAAATAAAAATATATATATATATATATATATATATATATATATTTTGTCATGCGAAGTGCATATGTTAATATATACATATATTAATATAAAAATACACTTATAATTAAATTACACACATACAGTTGCAAGAAAAAGTATGTGAACCCTTTTGAATGATATGGATTTCTGCACAAATTGGTCATAAAATGTGATCTGATAATCATCTAAGTCACAACAATAGACAATCACAGTCTGCTTAAACTAATAACACACAAAGAATGAAATGTTGCCATACTTCACAGTTGGGATGAGGTTTTGATGTGGGTATGCTGTGCCTTTTTTTCACCACACATAGTGTTGTGTGTTTCTTCCAAACAACTCAACTTTGGTTTCATCTGTCCACAGAATATTTTGCCAGTACTGCTGTGGAACATCCAGGTGCTCTTGTGCAAACTGTAAGCGTGCAGCAATGTTTTGTTTGGACAGCAGTGGCTTCCTCTGTGGTATCCTCCCATGAAATCCATTCTTGTTTAGTGTTTTACATATTGTAGATTCGCTAACAGGGATGTTAGCATTTGCCAGTGACTTTTGTAAGTCTTTAACTGACACTCTAGGATTCTTCTTCACCTCATTGAGCAGTCTGCGCTGTGCTCTTGCAGTCATCTTTACAGGACGGCCACTCCTAGGGAGACTAGCAGCAGTGCTGAACTTTCTCCATTTATAGACAATTTGTCTTACCGTGGACTGATGAACAGCAAGGCTTTTGGAGATAATTTTATAACCCTTTCCAGCTTTATGCAAGTCAACAATTCTTAATCGTAGGTCTTCTGAGAGCTCTTTTGTGCGAGGCATCATTCACATCAGGCAATGCTTCTTGTGAAAAGCAAACCCAGAACTGGTGTATATTTTTTATAGGGCAGCTGTAACCAACACCTCCAATCTCATCTCATTTATTGAACTCCAGTTGGTTGACATCTCACTCCAATTAGCTCTTGGAGATTTTATTAGTCTAGGGGTTCACATACTTTTTCCACCTGCACTGTGAATGTTTACATGGTGTGTTCAATAAAAACATGGCAACATTTCGTTCTTTGTGTGTTATTAGTTTAAGCAGACTGTGGTTGTCTATTGCTGTGACTTAGATGATGATCAGATCACATTTTATGACCAATTTGTGCAGAAATCCATATCATTCCAAAGGGTTCACATACTTTTTCTTGCAACTGTGTATATATATATATATATATATATATATATATATATATATATATATATATATATATATATATATATAGAATATATAAGTATATTTTGTATGTATATATTAAAAAATATAAGTAAAAAAAATAAATAAAAAAAAGTAAAAATAATTTTTCCAAATTTCAAAAAAAATTATATATGTAATTTTATTCTAACTGTATTTTGATTTTAATATATTTATATCAAAATACAGTTAAAATGAAATTATATATGTGTAAATAAAAATACGAAATATATATCTCCATATACACAATTACATAAATAATTTCATAAATAAACACGTAGACATCAAATATATAAATATGTATTTATATTTAAATTCTACGTGCATATTTATGTAATATTATTACATAATTAAGTAATTGTATTGATTGCAATTTGAGGGACCTGCCTGACAACCCAGGCCGAAAGTCCAGAGAACTTAATTTGCTAGCACTGGTTGTAGGTTGAAGATGTACAACCGATTTTGGGGGTCAAAGTTAGAAAAGGTGTGTTTTAAAAAAAAAAAAAAGGCAGCACTGCTGTTCAGCGTCTCCACGCTCTGCATGGGGAAGCTTAATTTTTCTCAAAGAGATGCATTGATTTAATGCATTTCTATGAGGAGGTGCTGATTGGCCAATGGTGTTTGGCCCCACCCCATTGCTGATTTTAGCCAATCCAATGCTTTGGCTAAAAATCAGCAATTCTGATTATGTCACCAAGGGGGCAGGGCCAGCGCCGGCAGACTTGTGCGGCGCTGGAAATAAGGTGAATTTTTATTGCTTTTAACAGGGCTGGGGGTGGGGAAAGCCACCTAAATGGTGGGTTTAGCACTGTAGGGTCAGGAATACATGTTTGTTTTCCTGACCCTATGTAACAGTCACCTGGGGACTTATGTAACAGTTTAACAGGAGTTGAAGCCCAGTTGCAGGAGATGGCACAGGGAGGAGGCAAAAACCAGAAGCGCAGTACAGATTAAAGGACCACTATAGTGCCAGGAAAACATACTCGGTCCCCCTCCCGCCAGGCTCTAGAGTGAGAAAGGGGTTAAACTTACCTCTTTCTCCAGCGCCGGGAGCTCTCCTCCTCGGCTGAATGTGCATGCACGGCAAGAGCCGCCCGAGCATTCAGCCAGTTTCATAGGAAGACATTCACAATGCTTTCCTATGGACGCTGGCATCTTCTCACTGTGAAAATCACAGTGAGAAGCACGCAAGCGCCTCTAGCGGCTGTCAATGAGAGAGCCACTAGAGGCTGGATTAACCCTAATATAAACATAGCAGTTTCTCTGAGACTGCTATGTTTATAGAAAAAAGGGTTAACCCTAGCTGGACCTGACACCCAGACCACTTCATTAAGCTGAAGTGGTCTGGGTGCCTATAGTGGTCCTTTAAGGGGAAATCCAAAGGCAGGGTCAGACGAGAAGCAGAAGTCAGGGCTGGCAGCAGAGTAATGTAGTCGGTAAAGCAGGCAGAGGTCAGAGTCCAGGAAATCAGTCAGTAGCGAAGCAAAGATCCGTCAGGAAACTCCAAACAGGCAAAACAACCAGATGCTAGGTTTCAGGCAGTGCTGGCTTTTACAGCCTGCAAATTAGATGCAGCTGACCCTAATTGGAAAAGGGCAACAGGTGGATCAGCACTGCTTAATCCAGGCAAGGGGTCAGGATGCAGAATAATGCAAACAGAAACTGAAGCCCCCTGGTGGACAGCACGGCAGAGAACCTGACTGGGGCTGTGAGTTCAAACCCAGCCAGGTCTCAAAGGGGTGGCTGGGCTCGGGCTGTGCCGTGACACCCTATAGTGTTCTTTTAACAGTAAGAAAATTGAAAAATGGTCTAATCACTAAGGGGTTAATAGAAGCAAAAGGAAGCTTTTCTTTTCCCAATCCATGTGCATTTGGAAGTGGGTGGAGGAAGTAATAAATGCGAGCTTCATACTGACCACATGTTAGGCTCCTTCTTAAGTCCCCTGATTCACTGAAAGCATCAAGGGATGTAAAAGCATAGCAATGTTGGCACCACAGGCCAAGTGCTTTCTCTTCTTTTTCTATCAATTTCAGTTTTTCACTTTGTTTGTGCTTTTTTTGGGACCCTCTGAGCACCATAACAACTTCATCAAAATTAAGTTGTTATGGTGTCCATAGGTCCCCGGCGCCGGTTTACCTTTACAGGTTATACCGTTCTTGAATGTTCCAAACCCAAATTTGCTTCTCCAGGACCATTTTGATCTGCCTCTTCCCCAAGATCTACTTTCTGAAAATCTTCAAAACAGAAGTCTCGGTCTGCCATGTTAAAGGACATCGCTGATTGGCTTAGGGCCGTCAGTTGATGTTCTAAGCCAATTAGTAGTGGCAAATGGTGACACGACACCCCCTTCCTCCCCGTACCTCCCAAGTCCTTCACTCAGCCCATCTACAGAACATTCATCCTCCTGCAGTGCTGGGAAGTTATGTAACAAAAGAAGGTTGAAGCAGCAGGAAGAACTTGTCCTCAGTGTGGGATAGTAGACAAGTTGTTGCTTTGGGCCGTAGACTGAGGGGGGCATGCCAGCAAAGGTTACTCAAACCAAAAACAGTATTTTGTTCAAACAATATTTTTTTTGTGTTGGAGTAAACCTTTACTGTAATGTCAAGAATACAAACATGTATTCCTGACACTATAACCCTGGTATGGCTGTTTAGGTACCCATCAACCCACAGCAGTAAAAAAGTTTGTTTACTCCCACGATGTGATGGTCTCGTCCTGCCTCCATGGCTGAGATCATCAGTCTGAATGATCTCAGCCAGTCCAATGCTTTCCTATAGGAAAGAGTTGCGCTGCAAAACACTGGGCTGCGCTAATCGGTATGTCCTCATAGAGATGAATGAATCAATGCATCTTTATGGGGAACGTTCAGCCACTAAATGCAGGAAACTTCTCTAGTGGCTGTCTGAGGGACTGCCGCTAAAGGTGTTCCTAGGAAGCAATGTAAACACAACCTTTTTCTGAAAAGGCAGCGTTTACAGAGCTCAGCCTACAAGCACATGCTATAGACACCAGAACAACTACATTGAGTGACCCTTTAATGTTGTTTAGTATAAGTATAGGGTATCTGAAAGCCCTATCCATCCTTTACAAACAAGATCAAGTAGGTACAGGTACACTTAAAGAAAAAGTGTTAAATAAAGGTGGAACAAATAAAAAGTACCAAAAAGTCTTGTTCATCAAAACACAGAGTCTCATAAAAACATTTGTTGTGAAATGGTTAAAGTGTGCAAAATAGATGCTCTTTTTGTCTCTGTGTATTAAAATGTATTTACAGGGTGAGGCAAGATTGGATTCATTTTTGATTTCTAAACATTTTTCTCATTGCAGCCTGTTGTCGATGGAATACTGGCATTGCTTTTCATAATGACAGTATCACAGTTTTGTATCACAATATCCACATCTGTTTTTGGATGTAAAACTGTGTGCCGGACATCATATAATGAAACGGTAAGTTAAATGTTTAAAGATATGCTGAAATGAATTATTCAGGAGATGGAAAACAAAACTCCTTTTCTCTTCTTTCAAGTCTTACAAATATGCGTACTTCCATTGAGCATATGTAGTTTATGGAACCAGTAACTAACAACTATGATGAGTCCATTGATATACATTTACTTAATAGAATGCGATTTTACACAAATAAGTTAAAGTCGAGGGGAGCCATGTTAACTATGGGTGACAGTTACTAGTTACTCAGTAAATTCTACTGCAGTGTTACTAGGGTGCCCACGTGTCCCGGATCGTCCGGGACAGTCCCGCATTTTGAGAGTCTGTCCCGGGCACCCTCATTCCGGGACAATGTAGTGGGAAGCCTGTCCAGCTCAGTTGCTTTGGGCCCTGTCGGGCTAGTGAGGAGATCAATGATCTCCCTCACCGGCCTGACTGACCCTTCGTCCGTGACACAATACACAAGATCCAGGCACTCACTTATCCACTAAACAGCAACTTTAATGTTGACAGATTTTATTAGTTTTTTTTAAAACACCTAATCTAGGCAAAAATAATGGGGGTTTAGTTACATTATATGATCATACATTGCATAAGCCTGCCACGACTTCAATGTACCCCATCTTTCGCAGGTCCTACTCGAACAGTCTAATGTCTGTTCTTATGAGATTAACCCACTTACTTGGGGAAAAATTCCATCTGGGTCTCTCTCTGCAGTATAAGGCTAAATAGGGCCCTGGATGAGGCACCTGTGACAGGGAGGGGTGCAAAACCAAAGAGTTGGCTCCCAAGGAGTTAGACTCCCAAATATATATATATATAAAAAAACAGGGGGCTGCACTCACCTGAACATGCATAAACGGGTGCTGCTGGGGGCCAAATTATACAATACACAAGATCAAGCGCACTCAGCCCCCAGCAGCACCCCATTTATGCATGTTCGGGTGAGTGTAGCCCCCTGGTTTCATATTTAAATTTAATATATAAGAGGTAATAAATATATTCAACCATGACAGGTGCATTCTGTATTGAGGTATATTGCAATAGATCTCTTTATTTTAAATTTCTCTATATGAGGATTTTAAAGATTTGGCAGGGCCTGATCTTTATTTGCGGTCTGAAAATGAGTGTCATTTGTTATCTTAGCAACCAGGTTGGTAGCACATCCAACAAAATAATTATTAAAGGCATTTGCTACATCTAGGGGGTGTTGCAGTGTTTGGTTGTCCTTTTTGACAGTGTTGGGAGTGGATTGTGGGGGTTTGTATGCTATTTCTGATTTTCCAGAAGTTTCTTGGGTTTGTTATGTTATTGTTCAAATGTTCACTGAAATATTGGGCCTTTGCCATTTTTGTTTGTTATGTGCATGCAACACACACACACATACACACACACTTTGTAGTCTGTTATTTATGGTTAGTAAATTATTCATATTTTTTTTAAACGTTCCTGCTCATTAAAAAAAAAACAAACAAAAAAAACAACTGTTCTTTAATGCAACTTGTTTTGTTTTCTTTTTCTATTTCTTAAAGGACCACTATAGGCACCCAGACCACTTCAGCTAATGTTAACCCTTATTTCTATTAACATAGTTTCAGAGAAACTGCTATGTTTACCTATGGGTTAATCCAGCCTCTAGTGGCTGTCTCATTGACAGCCGCTAGAGGCACTTCTGACTGTGAAAATCACAGTGAGAAGACGCCAGCGTCCATAGGAAAGCATTGAAAATGCTTTCCTATGGACTGGCTGAATGTGCGCGTGGCTCTTGCCGCGCATGCGCATTCAGCCGAGGAGGAGAGTCCCCGCCCAGCGCTGGAGAAAGAGGTAAGTTTAACCCCTTCCACCTCCTAGAGCCCGGCGGGAGGGGGACCCTGAGGGTGGGGGCACCCTCAGGGCACTATAGTGCCAGGAAAATGAGTATGTTTTCCTGGCACTATAGTGGTCCTTTAAGAGATGTCTAAGTAACAAGTTAATGTTTGCAGAAATACTAAAAAAAAATGCACTGGCATATGTTTTTGCCAGTCTCAAGTATAAATTTGATGAAATGCACTCGTGAAAGTAAGTGTTCCTGAATGGCAGTTAGGAAATGTGGTCAGGGCCGGTGCATCCTATAGGCGACTTAGGCAGTCGCCTAGGGCTCCCCTTAGGAAGAGGTGCCGCGAGGAGCGCCAGCGCTCTCTATAGAGAGCCTCTGGCAGCTGCAGCAATGCCCAGGCTGGCGCGTCGATTAGGGATGGAATCCCTCAAATCTATGTTCGGGGAAATGTGAAAAATTTGAAAATTGAAAAACGGTCTGGTCAATAAGAGGTTCATGCAACTTGTTTTGTTTTCTTTTTCTATTTCTTAAGAGATGTCTAAGTAGCGAGTTAATGTTTGCAGAAATAGTGAAAAAATACTTGCCAGTCTCAAGTATAAATTTGATGAAATGCACTTGTGAAAGTAAGTGTCCTTGAATGGCAGTTAGGAAATGTGGTCAACCTTAGACTAACGCAGCGGTGGTAAGTGAAAGAAAATTACCTTCGCTGCCCTTCAACATTTCAGTGATTTGGCCAACTCATGATGCCTTGAACATGCGCATGTATGCTCTGGAATCTAAACTAAAACATTTTAAAATAATTATAGAACAACTAATAGCTGTTTTAGTTAGCTACTAGGCTGTACTAAAATTGTGGAAGGGAAAGTCCCTTTTTAAATACTGTGCGCAAAAGGTGATTAATTGCAAAATGTATGTATTATTATAAATAATTGGAGACTTATTTAACTATTTTAACTTGTATTTTGCAATTCAGTTTCAAAATTACTTTTCAATTAACCCCCTAATTTTCTACCCTTGCATTTCTAAATGTAACACTAAATTTAAAATGTATTTACAGGGTGGGGAAAGATTGAAGTTATTTTAACCCCTTCAGGACGGAGTCAATAGTGCACGTTCTGATCAAAACAAAACGTAAACAAAAACTGGAATTTGCGCTATATGTCTGTCCAACCGTAATTCACCGCTGTCACATTAAGTACCCCCTCACTTATTATATATCATTTCGTTCAGGAGAAACAGGTCTTTAATTTATCATTAACTATTCATATATGGAACATAATTTATTATGAATAAAATTTAAAAAAAATTGAGAAAATAAGATTTTGTTTTAAATTTGTATTTCTGTCTGACATTTTAGCTGTGAATGTCATAATACTGTTAGGTTTTACTGCAAAAAAATGCACATATTTGTAATCAGTGATGTCTCACAAGTACAACAGTACCCCCCATTAACAGGTTTTATGGTGTTTTGGAAAGTTACAGGGTCAAATATAGAATGTTCCATTTTCAAATTGAAATTTGCCTGATTAGTAATGTTACCTTTGAGAAGGTGTGGTAGCCCAGGAATGAGAATTACCCCCATAATGGCATACCATTTGAAAAAGTAGACAACCCAAGGTATTGAAAGTGGGGTATGTTTAGTCTTTTTTAGTAGCCACTGGCTAAACACTGGCCAAAGTTAGAGTTCATATTTGTTTTTGTGTGAAAAAAGCAAAAAACTAATATTTGGCCAGTGTTTGTGACTAAGTGGCTACTAAGAAAGACTGGACATTCCCCACTTGTAATACCTTGGGTTGTCTACTTTTGCAAATGGTATGCCATCATGGGGGTGATTCTCATTCCTGGGCTACCATACGCTCTCAAAGGCAACATAACCAATCTGGCAAATTTCAATGTCAAAAAAACGAAATGTAAGCCTTATATGTGACTCTCTAACTTTCCAAAACACCATAAAACCTGTACATGGGGGGTACTGTTATTCTCGGGAGACTTCACTAAACAGAAATATTAGTGTTTTAAAACAGTAAAACATAATACAACAATAATATAGTCCATAAATTGCCGTTCGTTTGTAAAAAAAAATGCAAAAAACTTAACTTTTACTTAAAATATCATCGTTGTAATACAATTTATCAGATTTAAACATTAATATTTGAGTTCAGCAAAGTCTCCCGAGTAAAACAGTGCCCCCTATGTACAGGTTTTATGGTGTCTTGGAGAGTTACAGGGTCAAATATAGTGCTTGCAAATTAAATTCTCTGCACTTTTTCGCTGTGTTGTCAGGCATGTCAATCAAATTTTAATTAATCAAATCACATACTTATGTTAAAAGATTACTTAAATATACACGTAGAATTTAAATATATATGCATTTATAGGTATTTAAATTCTACGTGTATACTAATGTATTCTTTTATGTAATATATGTATTTATCTCTATATATATATTTGCGGTTATTTGTATTTTACATATAGAAAGATATATATATATATAGAATGTCATTCTAAGTGTATTTTGTTACCAATATATATATATATTAATAACAAAATACAGTTAGAATGAAATTGCATATGAATATATAATTTATATTAAATTTTGTTTCAATATTTTATTTATTATTGTAATTATACGTATATATAATATATGTGTATATATCTATTGTAACGGCACCCCGGGCATAAAAGGGGTTAACAGCCGTTTAGAAGATCTTCCCCTTCCAGGGACACAGGCACAGCTACTATAGACACCAATCCACCGAACCAGAGAAGCATATGAATGCTGTAAACAGCCGAACCGGAACCATTTGAATGCTGTAAACAGCCGAATAGGAAAAAGCATACGAAAGGTTTACACTCCTAGCAGTCGAACGGGAACAGCATACAATAAATCCCCCCCAAGAACAAGATAAAGCTCCGTGTTGAGGGTCAAGCAATGAAACGGAGCTGTGGGTTTATTGTTCTTATATACACATTAGTACCACCCACAGGGGTTTGGAAAACAACCAATAAACACGTACAATACACTCAGACACTCCCACACAAAATCCTCCCCTCTGCCTGTGATACAATTATCTTACACAATGGGTAATGTAATTATCACAGCCAGAGAAATACAGTTTTTCCACATTATTCATAACTTGAAAAGTATGCATCACATTCACATAACACATTTTCAGAATCAGCATACTCCAAATACAAACATATGTCAAAATCATCCAAATTGGTCCATTGGTTCAAAAGATAGATCAAAGTCCTTTGTGACCAAATGAAGCATGGCTTTTCTGCCCAAAACCAGTTCCACAGAGTCTTCTATCCTGGAGATAATTGGGAAGTAATCCAATTATCTCCAAGGACAGAGGCAAAACTCCATTGAACACATGGCAGCAAAAGACAATAAAACACATAAAAACATATAACTGTGCAGCCATTGCACAAAACAGGTACATTCAACATATCCCCAGATAGCTCAGATCTGAGCGCACATTATTACTGAATGGCGCTCAGAGCACACACATACAGTTCAATTACCATGGAGCCAAAGTCTTTCCCATAGTCTTTCATTATACGAATGGGCTCCATGGCATAGCTATCTGGGGTATCACCGCTCAAACAGGGCAAGCACCGAATTACCCGGCTTTCGTGTCTTCGCAGAGGAAAATTAAGCGTTTCAACATGGGGCCATAGTCTAAAGGCAGCAGGCGGGCAACCAGGCTCCTCCAATGCACAGTGGCGAGATTGGTCTCGTCACATCTATTATATATATAATATATATACATATAATATATATATGTAACGTCATTCTAAGTGTATTTTAATATTAATATATATACTAATATTAGTATTAAAATACACTATGTATGACGTTATATATATCTATATTATATACATAATATATATATATATATATACACACACACACACTTAATTAATTTTACACGTTTATTTTTTTTTTTTACATTTCCCACCAGCAGGGGGACTGTCTGATATTTCAGACAGCCCCCCTGCTGGCAGATCCATAGCCAGCTATAGGGGGCCATGTGATCGCTCTTTGAGAGTGATCACATGGCCCCCGGGGGCCTCATTCACCGGGGGAGGGCTGCCTGGGCTGTGAGGCAGCCCTCCAGAAGAGGATCGCGGCGGAGATAAGTACGCCGGACCTCCCCTGGGCTTAAGCGGTTACGGCGTTCTATGCCGCCGCAACGGCTTTAAAGCCCTTTAAAGCCGTGACGGCATAGAACGCCGTAACGGCGTTAAGGGGTTAAAATAATCATGCATTTCCAACGACAAATGAAATATAAATCATTAAAGGAACACTTCAAACACAATAATTACTATGGTGACATAAGTGAATTGGTGCACTCCTGTAGTAAGTAGTCAGACTGTTTAAGACTTATTTGACAAGTTTCCTGGCTCCCATCGAGCACCTGACACCACTTCTACTGCTGCTGGAAGCTTCTGCCTGTGACCTAAGCTCAACAATGCAAGGCCACACTGATTGGCTGACAGCACTGAGCTGATGCAATTTAGCTAATGAGGGTCACACTCATTGGCTGACAGCATCAAGCGGATGAATTCAACACTCAGCTAACGAGCATGGCTGTGCAGAACAGAGCTTAGCTCAAAGGAGCTAAGAGCACCTGGCAGGCTGCGATGGGCACCCATTAAGGCCTAAGTTGTCAAACTGCTCTTATACTGATTGAACACATACTCTGGTAGGGCACCATAACCAGTACAGCAGGCCATAGTGGTAATGATGGTTGAAGTTTTCCTTTAAAGGGAGGTCATTTAAATGTGTATTTGTAGTATTTTTCAAACAGAATTAAAGTAGATAGAGTCAACAGGGTGGTAAGATGCGTAGAAAATATGAGAATAAAAAACACAAAGGGGGTAAGAAACAGAAAAGCGGAATAGGAATAAGGGGATGAGGTACACAAAAGGGTCATAAGAGGGGCAAAGGGGGGAAAGGAGACACAAAAGAGTAATAGGGGTAAGAGATCCAAATGGGTAGGAGGGTAAAGAGATAAACACGGGTGGAGAGATGTGTACTAAGTCACACAAAAATTTACAGTTTGGAGGTGGTACCAAAACACAGAGTGTCAGCTGAAATTGACATTGACAAAGCTGAATTTTAAAATTTCACATCATTGCAGCCAATGAAGAGGCGGTCTCTGGGTGTGCCAGGGAGAGGCCTGGATATTTGTAAAAATCACTCCCCTATGGTTTGACAGTGATGCGCCAAATTATTGCCTACATATCCATTGCATTGAGATGCAGTGATTAGGCTGTTTAGAAAGTCCCGTTAAATGTGAATTATTTCAGTAGATTAAAATTGTTAATATTTTTATATAAATCATTCTTGCAGAATGTTGAAAATGTTAGTTGATTTTATATAATTATTAACTGCTTTAGAATACTCAAAATGTTAATGTTTTTTAAATAATAAATTATATACTATGTTGCACTAACACAGAATTTCATTTATATTTTATTTTAGACAGTAATAATTTATCAAGCCTCCTCGGTGATAAACGCTGGAAATAACATGACTGCTGATCCTACTACCTTAACTACAGATGAATAATGTATTGATATCAATGAATATCTTCTAGAGAAGATATGATGTTACTTTTTTATAACTACTTTTCAGATGCCTAAGTAGTTTTGTAAAATTTTAAACATAAATACAATTTTCTATATATATATTTTTGTTTTGAAGACCAGCAATTCCTCTGCTGCCAGTCTGCAGTTTCCACTTTGGCTTTGACCATTTTCCATTTTTGAGCTAATCAAAGCAAACTAATGCTACTCATTATTAAAGCACTATCAAAGTTAGTATATTACTGCTCTACAGCTGTGCAACTCATATAGCCCCGTGCACAAACACCTTCTGCAAACTAAATTCCTTCCTGAGATACTAGGCCTCATTTTGAGTCTTCATAAAAGCAACTTTTTCATTAACATCAAACAAAATATCACAGTTTCCTTCTTTTGACATATATGTTTTCAGTGCTTGTTATATAACTGGAATATATACATTTCACTACTACCATGCTGCAAAGGGTTAAAAGAACACTATATAGTGTTAAGAGTAGGAAACTGTATTTCTAACACTATAGTGTCCTTCTGCTTCCGCACCCCTACCCCACTGGCAAAGAAGGGTTAAAAATAAATTTTTTTCACTTACCTGATTATCTGATCAGGCTCCTCCTCTGCCCATGTCATGCCGATCATGGTTTTCCCATAGGAAATCAATGCTTTTCAATGGGGTTTTTCAAGAGGCTGGACGTAATCATACAAGGCGTGACATCTAGCGTTGTTTTATGGAGTTAAACTGCAGGAAGCGTCTCTAATGACTGTCTGGAAGACAGCCACTAGAGGCAGTCTTAACCATGCAATATAAACATTGCATTTTCTCTAAATATGCAGGGTTTTTACATTGCAGTGTTAAGAGGACAGTGACAATGAATCCAGGCCACTTCCATAAGATGAAGTGGTCTGGGTGCCAATGGTGTCCCTTTAATACACAATAATTATGGTAGGGCAAACTACAAACAAGATTAAACAAGTTAACGCTGTCAGGCTCTGTGTTTAGTCTTTAATAACTGTCCCTTCCAGATGGGGGGGGGGGGGGGAAGAGAACTACATGAGGATCATATCACAATCACAGAATTCTCCTCCTCCAGGGCCCTAAACTAGACTAAAGAATGCAACATAGAGTGTGTAATACAGAGAGCAGGCACAATGTATGGATTGGATTTCACCTAATTTAGCTCTTTAATTGAAATCGAGTAATAATAGCAGAAAGCTCAAGAATTGAATGTCCCAGGGAAAAGATTGGCAAGCACTTAGATGTAGGGGAAAAAAGCATAAAAGGAAAAAAGACAGATGTATAGACAGCCAGATACACATACACGTAGCAGTAATACTCACAATGCGTCTCCCAGGCAACCCTCTGGCGCAGGCTCTCTGACTACCTGCAGCTCATGTTGCTCTCGGTAGCTCAGTATTTACCGAGATTCTAAAAGCCAGTCTTGGAACACATTGTCTGAAAAGGGGGCATGGCTAAGCAGGAGTCTGTTGCGGCTTCTGAGTTCTGCAGCTCTGCAGACTCTGGAAGCAAATCACTGGACCAACAGGGAGCATACTGTTGCTAAACAGTTTATCCCTTTACTGGGGAACCAGGCCACGGTAATTTAGGCATCATTTCCATTACAGCAGGATGTAATGATGATTGGTGATGCTTGGAGCAATCCTTTAAGTGAGCTACACACTTTTTATACTTGCTTGAGTCTGTTTTTTGTGGCTTTGAAATATTAATTAAGCTTACGTGTAATATTGTGATACAGACTGTTGTTTATACTTTGTATTTCAAATGATCACTTTCAATATAGTTCTATTTTATAATAAAGAACATTTTACATTTACAAATCTTAATTGATTAAATTAATATGTGATGGAATGTGATTATTTTATATGTTCTTTGATCTTTAACATGTTAGTGAATAAGCCTCTAGACTAACAAGTCATGTTCTGTTCAATGCATAGAGGGTGTTGGTTGTTTATAAGTTTGGACTTTGTACCTTTTTTCCTCCCTCCTACCCACATCACCCCCTTACTGCTGATCTGCCTAGTAACAGCAGTAAAAGTCCAAACTAATCACCCCCCTTTTTCTACCTTCTCTATACATTAAGACCATGTGTAACTATCTGATTAGATAAAGAATAAAAGCACGCCCTGTTAAAACCAAAAACTATATATTTGGGATATGCAATAAACATTTTTTGAAAAGTCACTTTGAACAACTTGTATCTGTGTCAGTTCATCGTGGCGTCCCCAGCGCTGGAAAGAGATTGCAGGACAAATCAGAGATTGCTAAATTACATAGAAGTCTATGGCAAAGAAGTGGTCAATTATTTAAAGAGATCTTCATTTTGTTCATACATAGAGCTGTTTATCTAGTCTGTTAAAGATAATCACTTTTACTGCACTTCTGTTTACTATTGTTATATATAGTATCTCACAAGAGTGAGTACACCCTTCACATTTTTGTAAATATTTTATTCTATGTCTTTTCATGTGACAACACTGAAGAAATGACACTGTCATGTTTTTTCTTTAACAAATGCCAAACAGTTATTTTGAGGCAGTTTCAGCACGGCAAACTGATATGGCAGCAAATTAGAGAGATAAACTGATAGTCCTTGAAAATAGAGGTTTAGGTGATGTGTCCAGGGTTAGTCCATAAGCAATGTCCTTTATCCAGTCCGAGGTTGTTCAATAGGAGATCAAGCAATATTGAAGGAAATTCCAAAAGCAGAGTCAAGGCCAGTCCAAAATAGTTAACCAGGAAATCAAAGATATAGGGGTATTTTGATGGGATTCCAGCATGGTCAAAATTTAGTAGGCCTAAATCTCCACATGGCATATGCTAATAAGTATCTGATTACAAACAGTTGGATGAGTCATCAGTATACTGAGCATGTGTGGAAGTGGATAGTACATTCCTTTGTCTGTAAATGCCATGTGGTCTGCCCATATAAGGAGATCCTGAATATCCTGTGTGCTGATTGGTCTGAGGAATATAGGAGGGGGTTATACTGTATGCGAGGGGATATGCTGCTAACAAAAGGCCTCTGCACCATGCTTTCTGCCTCTCAGATATTTTTGGAACAGTTCATCTGAGACCCGATCGGTGTTTAATAAAAGACCTGTTACTTCCTGAAGACTTGTGTCCATATCTCTATGTGTGGCTTCTGCGGTTTGTTCCTGTTATTCCTCCGGTAACAGTATGAAGCGAGGATTCAGAAAGGGGTCCGGTGATGGAAAACACTGTCGCTCTAGGAGTGATCCAAATGATTAGGAAGGAAGTTGATGCAATCAGTCCGATTAACACATTAATTGTGCCCTGAGGTATTGGAGATTGGAGTTAAAGGGACACTATAGTCAACTGAACAACTTTAGCTTAACCCCTTAAGGACTGGACTGTTTTTGCGATGTTGTACATTTGCGACCAGGCATATTTTTACACTTTTGCGGTGTTTGTGTTTGGCTGTAATTTTCCGCTTTCTCATTTACTGTTCCCATACAAATTATATATTGTTTTTTTCAGGACAAAAAGGGGCTTTCTTTACATACCATTATTTATATAATCTCATGTATTTTAATTTAAAAAAAATACAAAAATCTGATGAAAAATTGAAAAAATACATGTTTTTTGACTTTTACTTGAAAAATCTTTTACTCATCTACAAAAGCGAATGAAAAAAACTGCTAAATAGATTCAAAATTTTGTCCTGAGTTTAAAAATACCTAGTGTTTACGTGCTTTTTTGCTTTTTTTTGCATGTTATAGGGCTATAGGTACAAGTAGGATATTGCGGTTTCAAAACATACATTTTAAAATTTATCAATAGTGACATTGTAACACTATTATCTGTCATAAATCTCTGAATAACACCCCACATGTACATATTTTTTTTAAAGTAGACAACCCAGGGTATTCAATATGGGGTATGTCCAGTCTTTTTTAGTAGCCACTTAGTCGAAAACACTGGCCAAAGTAAGCATTCATATTTGTTTGTGTGTGAAAAAAGTAAAAAAACTAAATTGAACGCTAATTTTGGCCAGTGTTTGTGACCAAGTGGTTACTAAAAAAGACTGGACATACCCCATTTGCAATACCTTGGGTTGTCTTCTTTTGCAAATGGTATGCCATCATGGGGGTAATTCTCATTCCTGGGCTACCATACGCTCTCAAAGGCAACGTAACCAACCTGGCCATTTTCAATGTAAAATATTTGACCCATATATTTGACCTTGTAACTTTCAAAAATGCTATAAAACCTGTACATGGGGGGTACTGTTTTACTCGGGAGACATCGCTGAACACAAATATTAGTGTTTAAAAACTGGAAAACGTATCACAACAATTATATCATCAGTAAAAGTGCTGTTTGTGTGTGAAAAATGCAAAAAAAGTAACTTTCACTGACAATATCATCACTGTGATATGTTTTACTGTTTTGAATCACTAATATTTGTGTTCAGCGAAGTCTCCCGAGTAAAACAGTACCCCCCATGTACAGGTTTTAGGGTGTCGTAGAACGTTACAGGGTAAAATACAGTGCTAGCAAATTAAATTCTCTGGAATTTCGGCCTGGGTTGGCAGGCAGGTCCCTCAAATTGCAATCAATAAAATTACTGAATTATGTAAAAATATTACATAAATACGCACGTAGAATTTAAATATATATGCATATTTATATATTTGAAGTCTACGTGTATATTTATATAATTATTTATGTAATTTTGTATATGGACGTATGTATATTTCTTATTATTTTTATTTATTTTTATATACATAGATATATATACAAATTCATTCTAAGTGTATTTTGATATAAATATATATATATTAATTTTAAAATACAGTTAGAATAAAATTTCATATAGCTATATAATTTTTTAAAATTTTTTATTATTTAAAAAAAATTATTTAATTTAAATTACTTATTATTTATATTTTATAATAATATATATATACAATATATATAGTTATTATATATATTATATATATACGTGT